CAGTCTTTTAAGTCTGCCATTGTAGCTGTGTGCCATTGCACCTGACCCAACATACATTTTGAGCAGCCCATAGTGCTAGGTGGGGGACCACTGTGACAAGGAGACATTTTTTCTTTTTTGGTACTAGGGATTGAACCCAGGGGCACTCAGACACTGAGCTATTTCCCCCAGGCTTTTTTTATTTTTTATTTTGAGAAAGGATCTTGTTTTGGGCCTTACTAAATTGCTGAGGCTGGCTTTGAACTTGCGATTCTCCTTCCTCATCATCCCAAATTGCTGGAATTATAGGCATGAACCACCATGCCTGGTTCCTTTTATATTTTTATTTTTTGAAACTGTGTGTGTGTGCGTGTGTGTGTTGAACTCAAGGGCACTTGACACTGAGCCATATCCCCAATCCTATTTTGTATTTTATTTAGAGACAGGATCTCACTGAGTTGCTTAGTGCCTCATTGTTGCTGAGGCTGGCTTTGAACTTGCAATCCTCCTTCTCAGCCTCCTGGGCAGCTGGGTATACAGGAGTACACCACCAGACCTAGCACAAATCAATATTTTTAAGAACAGTTTTATGCTTGTAGCAAAATTGAAGGGAGAGTACAGACAGTTCCCAGTACTTCCTGTTCCCACGTACCCACCCACCCACGGCCTCCCCTACTTCCAACACCCTGAGGCAAAGGGTTACGTTTGTTACAACTGGTGAAGATACATGGACCCAATATTATTACCCAGAATCCCAGGTGTACATTACAATTCCCTTTTGGTGGTGCACATCCAATAGGTTTGCATACATTTCTTTCTTTATTTTTGGTACCAGGGATTGAACCCAGGGGCATTTAACCACTGAGCAACATCCCCAGCCCTTTTCTATATTTTATTTAGAGATAGGGTCTCACTGAATTGCTTAGGCCTTGTTAAGTTGCAGAGGCTGGCTTTGAACTCACAATCCTCCTGCCTCAGTTTCTCAAGCTGCTGGGATTACAGATGTGCCCAGTTTAATAACATGAGTTTACCATTATGGTTTCCTACAGAGCAGTTTCACTGCCCTAAAAACCCTCAGTGTTCCACCTGTCCATTCTCACTACCCTCTGGCAACTGCTGATTCTTTGGTACTGGGGATGAAACCCAGGGCTTAATGCACACAAGGTAAATGCTCTATCACTGAGCTCTTCTCCCGCCCATTGATCTCTGTAATGTTCACAATAGTTTTGCCTTTCCCAAAATGTTCTACAGTTGGAATCAAAAAGTATGTTGCCTTCTCAGACAGTCTTCCTTCACTTAATAATATGCATTTCAAGGCTGCGGATGTAGCTCAGCTACAGAGCACTTGCCTAGCATGTGTGAGCATTTGCAATACCCAATATTGCAAATAAACAAGATAATGAAAAGCTCCTAAAACAAGACAAAAAAGAAAAGAAAGAAAAGAAAATCATAATTTCCTCCATCTCTCTCTCCTTTAGGTGCTAGGGATTGAATTTGGGCAAGTCAAGCAGTCTACCACTGAGCCCCATCCCAGCCCCATCCTGGATGTGTCCCCCCCACCACCATGGTACTGGGGATTGAATCCAGGACCCCATGCGCACTAGGCAAGTGATCCACCATTAAGCTCCACGTCTTTTCATGGCTTGAGAGCTCAAATCCTTCAGTATTGAATAATATTACATTGTCTGGAGGCACTATGGTTTCTCCATTCACTTAGTGTCATAGTTTGGAGCTGGAAGGTCTAGACCTCAAAGGTCTATGTGTTGAAGACTTGGTCCCCAGAGAATCATGCTATTGGGAGGTGGTGGAAACTAGGAGGTGGGGCCCGTAGGAGAAAGTTAGATAGGTGAGGGGCCCCTTGAGGGTTATGTTGGGATCTCAGCTGCTTCCTCTCTCTCCAGCTTCCTGGCTGGCATGAGGTGAGACTGGATGGAAATCCTCCTTTGTGTTGATTTATCTAGGTATTCTGTTCTAGCCACAGAAAGCTGATGAACATATCTACTGAAGGACATCTTGGCCACTTCTAAATGTTGGCAATTATGAGTAAAGCTGCTGCAGACATGGGTGTGCAGCTATTTGTGGGATAGGAAGGTTTCAACTCCAGCTACATAGTTTGCAAAGTGCACTGTGCATTTGTGTGCTGCAGTGGGAGCTCAGGAAAGGATATGGGTCCTTCAAAATGGCTTTTGAGCTAGATGCGGTGGCGCATGCCTATAATGCCAGAGCTCAGGAGGCCGAGGCAGGAGGATCCCAAGTATCAGGTCAACCTCAGCTAGTTAGCCAGACCCTATCTCAAAGTAAAAAATAAAAAGGGCTGGGGATGTAGCTCAGTGGTAGAGCGCCCCTAGGTTCAATTCCCAGTATTGCAAAAAAAAAAAATTGCTTCTATGGACACTCTGAAGGTAGAGATGATGGGGACTACTTTGGCTGCAGCCTGTGCCTAGCACACAAAGAGCCACCAAAGGGGAGGTGCAGTGGCTCGCTCTTCCAGCAGGCACTACTGGAAGCCCTGTCCCCAGACTCCATCCCTGGCTGCAGGCTCCCAGTTCCTTGAGTTTCTCTCCTCTCTACAACAGCTGAGGATGCTGAACTGGAGGGCTCTCTCCTTCTTGGGTGGGCTCCAATCCCTGCTTCGCGACCCTCAGTGATCCACATTCTCCTCTGCAAGATGGGGATGAAGGGACTGGGGATTGGTGACATTTCCAGTGCCATCCCAACAGAAAGGGACAGTTACAAGCAGCAGCTGGGAATGTGGGCTTCTGTCATTTGTTTTTATTTTTATTTATTTATTTATTTTGTAGGTGCTGGGGATGGAATCCAAGGCTCGTGCATGCCAGGCAATGAATGGGAAGGGGGTGGGGATTTTCAGAGACCACCTGCTTCATTTCCAGCCTCTAACTGGGTTCTCAGTGAATTCCATGGCCCACTGCTTGGCCCTGGTCTCCAAGTTCTGTTCTACACTGGGGCCAGCCAGACACTGCTCTCAGACCATGATCTGTTGGGGATGCTATGAAGCAGTGTCCCCAAACCTGTCCCTACGCCCCTGGAAAGGCCCACGAGAGGGTAGGAGCAACAAGCCATTGGCACCAGCTCCACTCTGGGGGTCCTTGAGCTCAATGCATACAGGTGTCCAACTTGAATATTCCTGCAATTGGGGCAGCCAAGGAAATGTTGATGGAGTGGGTGACTCCTTCTTCCCTAGAACCAGCAGCAGTAGTCTTAGTTCTAGCTTCTCTTGATGGACTTGCTCCTCTGCCATGGACACTCAGAAGCAGTATCTCATTTCATTAATTACTGATTTGGCCAACATCCCTGAGGGGCCGGCTAACTATCAAGCACTACTCTATTGGGGGACAGAAAATAAACAAGTTGCCATGGTGAAACACATACAAAATTACAGAAGGGATGGGTCCAGGAGGCTGGGAAAGAAAAATCCAGGGAAGACTACTAGGAGGATGTGACACTTGAGTTACTGAGAAGCACCATCCAGGAGCAAAGCATCATCCCCAAGGAGAACTCAGTACACTCGATGGTTGGGCAAGCATCTCGAGCTTTCACCATCACGGGACCAGGGAAGGTGAAAGGGTAGAGGGAGGAGCTGAAGGACAACTAGGGTCAGGAGGGCAGAGGCAGAGGTGGGCCAGAATTAGGTTCCAATAGTAAACAATGGGAACTCTCATGAACATGCCTTTTTTTATTTTTGGTACCAGGGATTGAACTCAAGGATGCTTAACCACTGAGCCACATCCCCAGTCCTTTTCATTTTTTTTTTTTTTTTCTGAGACAGGGTTTCAGAAAGTTAGAGCCTCGCTATATTGCTGAGGCTGAGGCTGGCCTTAAAACTTGAGATCCTCCTGCCTCAGCCTCCTGAGTTGCTGGAATTCAGGCATGTGTCACTGTACCCAGCCATTAACACACTTTCGAAGAGACCTGGTCTTGAATGTTGCTCTAGCTGGCTTCAAGTAATCCTCCTGCCTTAACATCCAGAGTGGCTGGGACTACAGGTGTGTACCACTGAACCTGGCTACACCCATTTTTTTCTTTTCAATGTCTGAAGTTGTACTTAACTGTGGACTAAACTGGATGTTCTTTTTTTGGGGGTGGGGGGAGAGATACTGGGGATTGAATCCTGGGCCTTATGCACTCTAGGCAAGTGCTTTAACACTAAATTATATTCCCAGCCTTTTTTATTTTGCCACAGGGTCTGATAAATCGCCAAGACTACTCTCAAACTTTCAATTCTCACTCTCGTTAGTCTCTGGAATTACAAATGTGAGTGACCACACCCAAACCCAGCCCGCTTTTATTTATTTTTATTTTGAGACATGGTTTCAACTTAGGTTGCCCTGGCTGGCCTGGAACTTGCTATCCTCCTGTCCTGCCTCATCCTCTCAAATAGCTGGATTACAGGTACTCACCAGCTTAAGGTAGGCTCTTGAATCCAGTATGACTGATGTTCTCAGGAGAGGACCTATGGGGACACCGAGTGGGGAGATGGCCAGGTGAAGACAGAGAAAGAACCTGGGTGATGCTGCTGCCAGACCAGACGCCAAGGATCTCTGGCACCCACCAAAAGCAGGGAAAAAAGCAAGAAAGGTTTGTTTCCTAGAGCCTTTGGAGGGAGCACATCCTTGTACCGATGTTATTTCGAACATGTGGCTTCCAGAAATGCAAGTGGATACATTACCGCAGCCCTATAAAACCAGTGCCCTCATCCATACCCAGTTCTGACTCCAAAGCATGAACTTATTCCATGGAGTTTTAGCAGTAAGCTCTTTGAAATGCAAGCACTAAGGGGGAAAGGCATATGTCCACCCATTCACGTACTCAGCAAATATTGACTCAGTGTCTGATACATGCCAGAGTTAGTTCTAGGAATCCCATCCTTGCTTACCCGTTTATGGCGGGGGGGGCGGGGTGGGCAAAAAGAAAAAAAGACACAGTAGATCAGATGGTGCCAAGAGCTATGAAGAAATGTACCACGGGATGGGGGCGAGTTTGAGTGGTGAAGGTGGGGAGCAGGCTATGCGATCTTTCGGATGGGGACAGGTGGATTGCAATAGGGAGGACAGTGTAGACTGCTAATGCAAAGGCCTGGTGGTGGGGGCATGTTGGGCCGGCAGAAGGAGGCTGGGGTGGCTGGAAGGGAACAAGCAGAAAGCGGAGGGTTTGCAGAAGGCGCTCAGAAAGTAGGCGGAGGCAACTGGGTACCTACGAGGCTCAATGCGCCCTATTCCACCGGAGGCGCCACACCCCAAATGGCGGCTCGAGGTCCGCTGTAGGCGAGCGGAAGTGCGTATTGCGGACGCCGGAAGTTGTGTTCAGCCCCGCCCCTTGCCGGGTCTCTTGAGCCGCGGACGCGCCGGCTTCCAGCATCCTTGGCGGGGCAGACGGGAGGCCTCGAAGCTGCGGCTCCTGCGGCCGCGGCACGGCCGGCCGGCGACATGGCCAGCTCTGGAGAGGTACTGTCCGCGCCTGTCTCTGCTCTACTTCTGCCTTGGTGGTCTCGGCCGCTCTCGGTCCTTCTCATCCCACCTGACTCCTCCCTCCCGACCCTTCTCCCCGACCCTTCCCCTGCTCTTGGGCCCCTCCTCGCCCCCTCTCGCTCTCCTCCCAGGCCCCCGTCCTGCCTCCGAAGTCACAGATTGTCAATTCCCGCTTGTGTTTACCATCCGGTTTCCAATCCCACATCCTTGATGGGCAAAGTGGCTCCCCTCATTCCGTCCCCTGAGTTTCCAGGCCCTTGCTCCAGGCCCCTGTCTCCTGCTTGGCCCTCGCAGCTCTGGGACGTTGCCCCTCCGTGCCCACTTCCAACCCTCTTTTCTGTTTCTGTTCAGTTGCAGTCCAGCCTCCTTCTCTCTGGAGTACTCTATCTGGAGTGTGTGACTTGGTGGAGAGTGATGGAGGGAAAGCCAGTTCACTTAGGGATTTAGGGCTTATCCTGGAATTCCTTCCCCAAACGCTCTACAAATCTGGGTCCGTTGGGGGATACCAGCACGATCTGTGATGTGGTGCAGGGTATTCTCTGCAGGAAAGGGCTAAACAGGGCTCATGAGCTGATTAGTAGCTTCTTTCTTATCTACATGTATACCTGGGTTTTTATCTATCGACTTCCAAAACTCAGCGGTGGGTTCACTTCTAAATCTTAGAAGCTATTTGAGTTCAAGCAGAGGTTCAAGTATTTCCCTCTGAGTGGATGGGACATGGGTATGTAGAAGATGGCTGTGCACGGAGGTGGGTAGGTGGAAGATGGCTGGGGTTTGCTGATAGCGCCTCTTTATTTGAAGTGAATTTGGCCAGAAGTGGCTCCTCTGGCCCCTTAATTGATGGGGAAGGGTGTGTGACCTAACTGCAGACTGTCCATTGAAAAGTCAGGAATCTTCAGTTCCCTCAGAAGTTCTGGGGTATCCTGCTGTATTAGCAGATGCCAATTAGCTGTTATGTGCTTGGGGGATCTGATACCTTGGTTTTATGGAGTGCTGTTTCAAAGGCCCCTTCTGTTCTTGAAATGTGGGGCTTACTGACCAGTGAGGCTGCTTTGTGGCAGCCTCCTCATGGGAGGAGAGGGGAGGTTGATTTTACCCAAAATATAGAGATCTAGGTCCCTTTTTTGAAGGGATGGTCAAATTATTTATTGAGATTTAATTCATGTACACAAAATTCACTCTTTCAAAGTATACAATTCTATCTTGTAAAATAAAAATGCAACCTCTATAGAGTCTGTAGATTTTATGTCCATTTGTATACTTGGTATTCCTTATGGTATTTAGAACTTTGTTTTTTATAACTAGGGTTCAGCAAGTATTTATTAGTTGATCATTGTTGAGCATTTTTGCACATATTTCTAATAAAGTGTTCAATTCGGTGAATTTTTAAGAACTGTATTAACAAGGCTGTGTAACATCCCCACTATCTGATTCCAGGATGGGGTGTCTGACTTTGGAAGTCCTTTAAAATGCAGTTGCTTGAAGGGTGCACATGTGATCTCAGTAACTTGGGAGGCTGAGACAGGAGTATCGCAAGTTTGAGGACTGCCTCAGGAATTCAGTGAGAAAAATAAAAATAAAAAATAAAAGTGGGCGGGGTGGTGCATACCTGTAATCCTAGTGGCTCATAAGGCTGAGGCAGGAGGATTGCGACTTCAAAGCCAGCCTCAGCCAAAGCAAGGTGCTAAGAAACCAAGTGAGACCTTGTCTCTAAAATACAAAATAGTGCCGGGGATGTGACTCAGTGGCCTAGTGCCCCCGAGTTCAATCCCTGGTACCTCTTCCCACCCCCCAAAAACATAGGGCTGGGGATGTGGCTCAGTGGTCAAGTGCTCTTGAATTCAGTCCTTGGTACCCTGCCCCCCAAAATAAATAAAATAAATAGGGCTGGGAGTGTAGCTCAGGTAAAGCCCCCCAGGGTTCCATTCCTAGTACCTCTTTTCCCCAAATGCAATTGTCCAACACTGCACCACTTTCCAAGAACTAGGGCTCCTTTGTTGTTTTTTTTTCTATATATTAATTTTAATTACTTTGAAACAACATAATTTTTATACCAAAGAAGCACCCATTATAATTGCTAAATTCTAACACCAGCATTTTATGTATCTGATCCAGCTGTGCAAAACTGATCAATTTTCTTTTCTTTTTTTGAAATGGGGGTGTCCTTTTGTTGCCCAGCTATTCTCAAACTTTTGGGCTCAAGGGATCCTCCTGTCCACCCACACCTGGCTTCATTTTTTTTTTTGGACTAAGCTGAAGTAGAAATTCCAAAGATAAAAGAGAAGCTTAAAGGTCATGTTTATTAGCTAGCACCATAATTCTAGTGTTAGACTCTTTCCAGCAACCTGAAGAAGGATGTGGAAGAGTTGAGGTTAGGGGGATCTAATGGGTAGTTCTTAATTTGTGGCCCTGTTTGTGCCCCAGGGCAACATAGGGTCTAGCAAAGAAGAGTCTCTGGGGCTGGAGATGAAAGCAAAAGCTCTGGGATCAGATGGTAAAGTAAAGGAAGCTCCTCTGAACCTCAGAATCCGCGCATCCAGGGGGCACGCTGGAGTTGCTCCTGAACTGGGGGGTTTCTTCTTGCCAATTAGCTGTTATGTGCTTGGGGGATCTGATATCTTGGTTTTATGGAGTGCTGTTTCAAAGGCCCCGTCTGTTCTTGAAGTGTGGGGCTTACTGACCAGTGAGGCTGCTTTGTGGCAGCCTCCTCATGGGAGGAGAGGGGGGGTTGATTTTACCCAAAATATAGAGATCTAGGTCTTTTTTTGAAGGGATGGTCAAAACTACAGTAAAATCTTTTTTTGGTTTTGTTGTTGGTACTAGAGATTGAATCCAGGGATCTCTACCACTGAGCCACATCCCCAGTCCTTTTTATTTTTTATTTTGAGATATGGTCTTGCTTATTTGTTGGTGGTCTTGCTAAGTTGCTGGGACTGGCCTTGAACTTGTGATCCTCCTGCCTCAGCTTCTAGAATCACTGGGATTACAAACATGTACCACAACACCTGGTGCAATCATAGGTCCTCTTTTGGTACTGGGGATTCAACCCAGAGGCACTTAACCACTGAGCCACATCCCCAGCCCTATTTTGTATTTTATTTAGAGACAGGTCTCAACTGAGTTGCTCAGTGCCTCACTTTTGATCAGGCTGACTTTGAACTCGAGATCCTCCTGCCTCAGGCTCCTGAGCTCTAGAAATACAGGTATTTACCACCATGCAGAGCCCTTTCTGTGTTTTGAGACAGGATCTTACTAAATTGCTTAGGGCCTTGCTAAGTTGCTGAGTCTGGCCTGGAATTTGCAGTTCTCCTGCTTCAGCCTCCTGAGCTGCCGGATTATTGGTGTGTGCCACCATGCCTGGCCATATGGGTCCTTTTGTAATTCTCCAGGTTTTAGTCAGGTTTGGCATGCCATCTTAGTTCTGAGTCAGATCCATTTCAACCATGTTGCCAGAAGCAAATTTAAAGCCATTCGTGGTGGTACACCCCTATAATCCCAGAAATTTGGGGTATTGAGGCAGGAGGATCACAAATTTGAGGCCAGCCTCAGCAACTTAGTGAAACTCTGTCTCAAATTAAAAAAATAAAAAGGACTGGGGTAAAGTGCCCCTAGATTCCATTCCCAGTCCAAAAAAAAAAAAAAGGTAAGTCCAAGCAGGAACTGGAATATGATGTTGGGTGGGGATGGTAGGATGGTAAGGAGGGCATAAAGGAGTGGCTCTGCCTTCATTTAATAGCACTTCAAATGATTCTGCAGCAGGTGATCCTATGCCTCATCTGGTTCCGTGCCTCTTTCTCCTGGGCATTAAAAAATTCCCATTCAGTTGGGTGTGGTGGTGCATACCATAATCCCAGTGATTCCGGAGGCTGAGGCAGGAGGATTGAAAGTTTGAAGCCAGCCTTGGCAATTTAGTGATGCCCTAAGCAACTTAGACCCTGTCTCAAAATAAAAAATAAAAAGGGCTAGAGATGTAGCACGATGGTAAAGTGCCAAAAAAAAAAAAGAAAAGAAAAGAAAAGAAAAATCCCTGTTCAAAATGGGCTGGTGTGGAGGTGCCAAGGACTCAGGAGGCTGAGATGGGAGGATCACTTGAGCCCACCCTAGGCAACATAGTGAGGCCCTGCCTAACCTGCAGTAAAATCCCTGTTCCAGGAGTGGTTCCTGGTGTAGTGGAGAAGCTATCACAAATTCCAGGCCAGCCACAGCATTTAGTCAGACCCTTAGTAACTTAGTGAAACCCTGCTTCAAGATAAAAATTAAAAAGGACTGGGATGTGGGCTGGGGTTGTGGCTCACCGATAGAGCACTCGCCTAGCACGTGTGAGGCCCTGGGTTCGATCCTCATCATTACATATAAATAAATAAAATAAATGTATTGTGTCCAACTACAACTAAAAAATAAATATTAAAAAAAAAAAAGGACTGGGATGTAGCCTACTGGTATAGTACCCCTGGGTTTGATCCTCAGTACCAAAAAAAGAGTTCAGTTAGTAGATTCCTCTCCCTCCCCCCACCTGGTGCTGGGGATTGAACCCAGGGCCTTGGGCATATAAGGCAAGCTCTACCAACTGAGCTATATCCCCAGCCCCACAGTTCTTAGTTTGTGAAATAAAACATGCACAAGGCCTTGAGTTAAATCCCCAGCACCACAAAACAAATTGTGGGAGCCCATTCTTCTGTCTGGGTCCACACTCTTAGTGTCTTGCTTGTCCTAAGCTTCCTTTCTTGAGTGCATGGTGTGTTAACTTAGAGAAGTTGTCTCAGGAAGCCTGAGTTTGGACCAGGCTGTTGCAAACCCAACAGCTACCTCCCAGGATGGGAGTGTTATGAACTGCTACCCAATGGTTTCTCCTCTCATCTAGGTGCATTAGTGCTGCTGAAGAATGTGGATGCTGTCCCCACAAGAAGCCTGAGGGGTCATGCTGTGGACTAACAGGCTACATCTTTTACTTGGGGTACAGCGTATGGGAAAGATGATCTGTGGAGTGTGCTGGGGCTGGTTGGAGGCAGTGGATTGCATTCCTGTGTACTCATGAGCACTGTTTATTTTGGATACTGGGGATTGGACCAAGGGGCCTTAACTGAGTCCCATCTCCAGCCCTATTTTATTTAGAGACAGGATCTTGCTGAGTTGCTTAGGGCCTTGCTGAGTTGCTGAGGTTGGCTTTGAACTCACAATCCTCCTGCCTTTGCCTCCGGAGCTGTTGGGATTATAGGCATGTGCCCCTGTGCCTGGCATCATTTGAATTTCTGTGATTTCTAGGTGGCTTTAAGAAAAATTCAGGGAGATGGGGATGTGGCTCAGTTAAGAGCACTTGCCTAGTATGTACAAGACCTTGGCTTCTATCCACAACACTGCAAAAAGAAAGAAAGAAAGAAAAAAAAGAGATTAACTATAGTAGTATGCCTGTAGGAATCTCATGATGCTGGCTTCCCACTACTAGGGATTGAATTCAGGGGCACTCTACCACTAAGCCATATCCTCAGGCCTTTATTAGTTTTTAAAATTTTGAGAGAGGATTTTACTAAGACTGGCTTTGAACTCAGCTATCCTCCTGCCTCAGCCTTCTTACTCAGGATTACAGGTGTGTGTTACCACGCCCAGCATTTTTTTGTTATTTATTTATTTACTTATTTTTAACAATGCTGGGGATCAAAAACACAGCCGTTCAAGTGCTCTGCTCCGAGTTACGTTCTCAGTGCTGAGGATTTTGTGATTTGTCCCTGTTCCCATCTCCCCATGTAAGCTCGCTGTGGCATTCTTACTTGAATAAGTCTATAAATTGGGTTTCAGGATGGGGGAGTCTTGTGATCTCACAGCCCCTCCCTCTTCAGCTTTGGCCCTCTCTGGAGTCTTCTTTGCTGATAGAGATTGTCCCTGCCTCAGGTGCCTGATCGGGGAATCTGGTCCTTTTCTTTTCCTTTTGGCTGAGGACCCTTTGAACCAGAGCCTTGTATGTGCCAGGTAAACCCTCTAACACTGGGGTTACACCCCCAGCAGGGAATCTGAGTTTTTAAGAGGTGCCTGGGTGATCCCCATGACTGGTCTAAATACTGTGCTAAGGGAAAGTCACTTGTGGTTGGAAACAGTAGGCCCAGAATACGACCTGGAGCATCAGTAGGCTTGAATTGATGGCTGTCATCTACCCTTGTCACAGTGGAGATGGGAAGATGGGCCCAGGGAAAGGCTCCTCTGTCTGCTGCTTCCTGATATGGAGGGAAGGTGGAAGGCCTTATCCTGTCTTGATGAGTCCTTGAACTTTTGACCTTTGTGGTAGATGCCCTTCTGTACTGATTGTGTCCTTTGGTGTCCATTGTGGCTTCCTTTTCTAGAGGATGGGGGATTCTTCTTTGTTTGTAGGGAAGCTCAGGTGGCACCTCTGGGGCCTGGGGAGGGCTGGGCAGGAGGTGAGGGATGGCACAGTTAGTTCCAGGAGAGCCGGCCCCAGTGCGGGGTGTGCAGTCGGGCTCTTCCTCCATGGGCTTCACAGTTGCCATGGCAGCAGCTGAGTTTCACAAACTCAAGGCTTCCCTCCCTACAGATGTGTGCAGGAAGCAGAGTGGAAGAAGGCCGACTATAGATGAAGGTTTGTGTAGACACAATTCCTGGAAAAGGCAGCAGAAGGGATGGTGGTGGGTGCTCTGCTGGGAGTGGTCATTAGGGAGGGGGGCCCTCAGCATTGGGAAGGGAAGGAACATGCTCCCCTTATGTAGTCTTAAGCACTCCTTTGTCCTTAATTTGGGAATTTCCTGTCACATTAGCAGAGGCTCAGCACACCCCCCTCCTAGTTGTACAAATCAGACAAGATTGGGCGTGTTCAGGGTGGTGTGGCCTTAAATGCTAGCTGGTTGTACAAATCCAAAAGGCCTTGAGCATTTGGACCACAGCCCCAGATTAGGGAAGAAAACCTTGTAGTTTGTCAGGTATTTATAGCAAAGCAAAATGAAATGTGTGGATATCTTTTGGAGCTACCAAGATGAGTTTCTAACCAAGAAGTTTGAAAATTGGAGATAAGTTGTGCCCTCTTTATTATTTATTACTGTAAGATTTTTAATGTCATTAGTCTAGCCAGGCACAGGGATGCATGCCTGTAGCCCTGCCTACTTGGGAGGCTGAGGCAGAAAGATCTCTTCAGCCTAGGAGTTTAGCAACACAGCAAGACCTTGGGCAACAATAGCAAGACCCCCATGTCAAAATTAAAAAGTTAATAAAAATAAAAACGTGATTTATTCATCTAGTAGGTGCTGTTTTTTGGACTTGTATGTTTCTTTTTCAGTGATGGTTCCTCTGTTTTTACATACCCTAGTGATCATGCTTCCACAAGCCCTGTGGCAGGCATTCTGAGGACATGATATGCAGTGTCTCCTGTGGTCACCACAGCCCCCTGTGAGATTTAGACACGAGTGTCCTCTGTAGGCTTCTTGACAGTTCTCCTGGCCTAGGATCTGTAAGGGTAGAGCTTGACATCAGAGACTGGAGTTAGTAGCTTTCATCAGTGGGTCTAGGTGACTGGTCACATCCTTGAGTATAAAATATTTGAGAGTTGACTAGGTGACACCATTAGTGGAAAAAATCTCCTAAACACAGTGAACTTCTTTCTAATCTTTGATCCTGGTTTGCAGATCTAAAAGGGGTTTTTGAAGAATATCATTAATTCTTTGCTCCACAGTTATTTGGTTAAAGCCCTGCTTTTTCATGGACGGGGGGAGGGGTGCTTATTTGGGCTCTTCTCCTTAGCTGGGAAGGGCAGGCTGATAGTCACCCTTGGGGGTCCTGTAGAAATTTGATGTCCTCCTTATTTTTAGGACGTGTCCAATGAGGATGATGTGCCCCCAGCAGCGGCTGATGTGGCAGGTGGCGCCCACCTGCTGGGGTTTTCTGATGAGATCCTGCTGCACATCCTGAGCCACGTCCCTAGTATAGACCTGGTTCTGAATGTCCGTCATACCTGCCGGAAGCTCGCAGCCCTGTGTCTTGATAAGAGCCTTGTCCACACCGTGTTGCTGCAGAAGGACTATCAGGTGAGGTGGGCATCGGGCAGGAGGTTGGAAATAGCCGAGGTGCTGGTCTTTGGGTGCTGGCAGGGTCCTGTGCAGTTGGGAATTCCACCTCTCAACGCAATCTCCAGCATGCATTAAGTGACAGAAGCCAGGGCAGAAAAGTGTGGGAGGTAGGAGGCCTGCCTCCCATAGGGACCCAGGAGTGGACCTGCTAGGTGCCGGAGTGGTGCTGGAAGTCTGTGAAGCTGAACATGCAGCTCTGGAGGTGCAAGGTGTCACTGTGATACCCTCAGCAGTGCGAGGGAGTTGCAGTTACTTGTTAAAATTTCTGAGAAATCCCTGTGCTGTCCTGCTGAGTGTGGGCTCACCTGGGCGGGTCCAGGGCAAGAGACATGGCCATACCCAGGCCATCTCACTGCACTGCAGCTGGAGGCCTTCTCCCCAGATGGGACTCGTGCCTTTTTTTTTTTTTTTTTTGGTGGGGTTCAGGATGGAACCTGGAGCCTTGTGCGTGCTCAGCACTTGCTCTCCTTTTTTTGGGGGGGTGGTACTGAAAATTGAATCCAGGGGCACTTTGCCACTGAGCTGTATCCCCAATCCTTTTCTTTTTTATTGTGAGACAGGGTCTCATTAAGTTGCTTAGGGCTTGTTAGGTTACGGAAGCTGACCTTGAACTTGTGATCCTTCTGCCTCAGCCTCCCAAGTTGCTGGGATTACAGGTATATGCCACCATATCTGGCTCCCTGATTTTTTTTCCAAACAGTTTTATTGATATATGGTTTTAACGTACAATCTATTCATTTATTTAAAGTGTGCAGTTTAATGTTTTTTTGTATGTTACATTATTAATTTTGTTGAGTTGTGGCAAAATGTATGTAACGTATAGAGGTGCAGTGGCACACACCTGTAGTCCCACCTGTTTAGAAGGCTGAGGCAGGAGGATCACTTCAGCCACCCTGGACAACAGAGCAAGATGCCCCCCTGCCTCAAAACAAAGTGTAAGATTTGTCATTTTGATCATTTTAAAATTTTGATTTAAAATCCATAAAATTTACAATTTTAATCTCTCCTTTTTTTTTTCTTGGCGATGGGGCCTTGTTTTGTGCCCAGGCTGGTCTCAAGCTTCTGGGCTGAAACGATCCTCCCATTGTAGACTCCTGTGCAGGTTTTGACTTTTTTTATTTTTGGTGCTGGGGATTGAACCCAGGGCCTGGCATATGATTGGCAAGTGCTCTGCCACTGAATTACACCTCTAGCCCTTTTATTCAAAATAGGGTTTCACCAAGTTGCTCAGGTTTGGGATCCTTCTGCCTCATTCATCCCCTTGAGTGGCTGAGATTGTATGTGTTTGAATCTTTTATTTTTGTTGTTTTTTCCTTTCTTTGGGTACCGGGGGTTGAACTCAGAGGCACTTGGCCTCTGAGCCACATCCCCAGCCCTATTTTGTGTTTTATTTAGAGACAGGGTCTCACTGAGTTGCTTAGCGCAATGATATTCTTCAAAAACCCCTTTTAGATCTGTTGCTGAGGCTGGCTTCGAATTCGTGATCTTCCTGTTTCAGCCTCCCTAGCTGCTGGGATTACAGGTGTACACCACTGCACCCAGCCTGAATCATTTTAAAATGTGTAATCCAGTGGCATCAAGTATACTCACAGCCTGTACAACCATCACTATTACTACCCACCTCCAGAATTTTTTCATCATTATAAACAGAAACTTTGGAACTATTACATAATAGCTTTTTGTCCCCCTTTTCTTAGCCTGTTTTTTAGCCTACTTTCTGTTTCTGGATTTGCCAGTTGTAGGTTTTTTTTTTTTTTTTTGGGTGCTGGGGATTGAATCCAGGGCCTTGTGCGTGCAAGGCAAGCACTCTACCAACTGAGCTACATCCCCAGCCCTGCCTGTTGTAGTTATTTCACATAAATGGAATCATATAAGAGTTGAGCTTTTGTGTGAGGCTTCTCTCACTCAGCATGTCCTTAAGATTTATCTACATTGTAGCATGTGTGAGAACTTCATTCCTTTTTATGGCTGAATAATATTCCATTGCATGGATAGACCACACCTTGTGCATCTTTCCTTTGTTGGTAGTCATTTGGTTGTTTCCATGTGTTGGCTGTCGTGGTACACGGTGCGACAAACTCACTGTGCAGGTGTCGGTTGGTTTCCCTGCTCCTTGGGTATATAGGTAGGTGTGCAGGTTCTCAATCATGGTAATTCTGTGTTTAGTTTTTAGCAAAGTGCTTTCTACAGTGGCTGTACCACTTTCCATTCCCATGAATCTGGGGTCTCCTGACTACTGGCTTGCGGCAGGAGAGTTGGTAGGGAGGGGCAGGTAACTTCTCTTCCAGTCTGAAGCAGAGGGCCTCCACCGGACCCCCATGGCTCTCTGACGTTGTGGGGAGTGTGCACCTAGGGGCCAAGGAAGCACTTGGGTGCCTTTAGCCCCTTTCCTTCCTTTCCTGCCCATCCCTGTCCTGCAGGCCAGTGAGGACAAGGTGAAGCAGCTGGTGAAGGAGATTGGCCAGGAGATCCAGCAGCTGAACATGGCCGGCTGCTACTGGCTCTCAGGTTCCACCATTGAGCACGTGGCCCGCTGCCGTGGCCTGGTGAAAGTGAACCTCTCGGGCTGCCACCTGACCTCTCTGCGCCTCTCCAAGGTGCTCTCGGCCCTACAGCATCTACGCTCACTGGCCATTGATGTGAGCCCCGGCTTCGATGCCAGTCAGCTGAGCAGTGAATGCAAGGCCACGCTGAGCCGGGTGCGGGAACTCAAGCAGACGCTCTTCACGCCCTCCTATGGTGTGGTCCCATGCTGCGCCAGTCTCCAGAAGCTGCTTCTCTACTTTGAGATCCTGGACCGCACGCGCGAGGGCGCTGTCCTCTCAGGCCAGCTCATGGTGGGCCAGAGCAATGTGCCCCACTACCAAAACCTGCGTGTCTTCTACGCGCGCTTGGCCCCCGGCTACATCAACCAGGAGGTGGTGCGGCTGTATCTGGCAGTGCTCAGCGATCGCACACCCGAGAACCTGCATGCCTTTCTCATCTCTGTCCCTGGCAGCTTCGCCGAGAGCGGAGCCACCAAGAACCTCCTGGACTCCATGGCCCGAAACGTGGCCCTGGACGCCCTGCAGCTGCCCAAGTCCTGGCTGAATGGCTCCTCGCTCCTCCAGCACATGAAGTTCAACAATCCCTTTTACTTTAGCTTCAGCCGGTGCACACTGTCTGGTGGCCACCTGATCCAGCGGGTCATCAATGGCGGGAAGGACCTCCGCAGCCTGGCTAGCCTGAACCTCAGTGGCTGCGTGCACTGCCTGTCCCCTGATTCCCTGCTGCGCAAGGCAGAGGATGCTATCGATAGCAGTATCCTGGAGACGTTGGTGGCAGCCTGCTGCAACCTGAGGCACCTGAACCTCTCAGCAGCACACCACCACAGTGCTGAGGGCCCAGGCGGCCACCTCTGTCAGCTCCTGGCCCGGCTACGCCACCTGCGCTCCCTGTCCCTGCCTGTGTGCTCTGTTGCGGATGCGGCAGCCTGGGCTGACCGTGTTCCTGTGCAGCCGGTGATGCGTGCTGTGCCCCGTGGCTTTGGCAAGAAGGTGCGCATAGGTGTGCAGACCTGCCCCAGCCCCTTCCTAGGCCAGGCAGCCCCCCAGCCTTCCTCTGTGTTCTGGTCTCTTCTGAAGAACCTACCCTTTCTGGAGCACCTCGAGCTGATTGGGTCCAACTTTTCCTCAGCCATGCCACGCAATGAGCCTGCCATCCGCAACTCCCTCCCACCCTGTAGCCGGGCACAGAACGTTGGGGACTCGGAAGTGGCTGCCATTGGCCAGTTGGCCTTCCTGCGGCATCTGACACTGGCCCAGCTGCCGGGGATCCTGACTGGCTCTGGGCTGGTCAGCATCGGCTTGCAGTGCCAGCAGCTGCAGTCCCTCTCGCTGGCCAACCTGGGCATGATGGGGAAGGTGGTCTACATGCCTGCCCTCTCGGACATGCTGAAGCACTGCAGGCGGCTAAAGGACCTCAGGTGAGGGGCCCTCGGCACCTCTGTGCCCTCTTCTGGCTCTTTGGAGGCCTTAGAGGCTGGTGAGAGGGAGCAAGGCAGCTCAACTGCAGGCTTGCAGCCAGGCTGCCAAGAGCACACTTGGAGGTTCCCACAGAGGCCTGTCCCTGGGCTCAGAGCTTGCACACAGTGCAGGGCTCAGGAGGCTCTGCGCAGTAGCAGTCTAGCAGAGCCTCTTGGTGCTGGGGGCAGAGGTCTCTGCGCTTAGTGTCGCAGTCATTATGCTTGTAGTTTGAGTGATGGCCCCATGTGGGCTGCCTTGTGCACCATCTTATCCAACCCTCATGGCTGTCCTGCTGGGTGGGTATGATTGTCCGCATCCATATGAACTACTAAGTCAGAGGACCAGGATTTGAACCTGAGGCCTTCTACCCAACTCTGTGATTCTTGGAGGATGTATAATGGTTAGTTAGGACCCGTGGGGTCAGGGCTTCTGGGGTGGTTGGCAGCATTTGTGGAAGCCCCAGATATTTGAAAATTCCCCCAAATTTATAGCAGCCAGGACCCTGCATGGAGGTGGGAGAAGATGAGGCAGGTGAGGGCTGCGTGCAGGTGAGGTGCTAAGGGATGTCGGCCAGGGGAGGGGGCCTACTGGCATCCCCCACAGACTAGAGGGGCACAGAATGGAGACAGTAGAGATTAACTCAGAAGCAGGACAGTCTCTAGGTGGAGGCCTGGGATAGAGTGGCAGGACCAGGCCAGGAGAGTGCGGGGAGGTAGAGGCCATAGGCCTCAGACTCACCTGAGGCCCTACGGGGCCGACTGGCACTTCTGGAGCCACCTGGAGTGGACCCACCCTGAGCAGAGCTGTGGAGCGAAGGGGCTCTTGTGACAGTTAACTGACTTTTTTTTATTTACTTATTTTTTATTTGTTGACTTTTTTAATTGACTTATTTATTTTTTATTTTTTGACTTTTTTTTCTTCAATTGTTTGTTAGTTTTATTTTGTGTTCTACATTCTGTTACTTAAAGGATAAGAATTTGTTATCTTAAGACCTATTCGAAAATCTCAGCAGGTCTTATTTTGAAAAATCACCCAAAATGTGAAGGTAGCAAATCTAGTTCTACGAGGCCAAGAGGAGGGGGCAGGGCATACGTAAATCAGAGGGTCCCTCTGCAAGTCTTCAGCTGCTGGGATGGGCAGGTGCAGGCAGCATGGGGCCATAGAGCCACGTCTTAGCCCATGTGTCATTGTCCCTAGAATGGTGTGCACTTACTTCATATCTTTGCCAAGGGCCAGGCATCCAGCTGGTCATTCCCACAGTTGTCCCTGGAGGTTGGTGCCATCTCTGGTCCCGAAGCACGGCTGAGGCAGAAGTGCTGAGCTGAGTGTCTTCTTACCACCAGTCAAAAGCCAGAGCTTGACTTTGGCCCTCAGAGGGAAGACGGGGTGTCCATCGTAGACCTCTGCTCATTGCTCTGCTTGGCGAGATGTGAGCAGAAGCCGCAGGCGCTGTGCTGCTCCTGTCCTCCGCCTTCAGAACAGCCTAGCCAGTGTGCCCCGCCCTGTCACTGTCCTCTGAGTTCAGCCAAGCTGAGGCTGTGTGTATCCCTGTGGAGTGAGAACCCAGGGCCGGGCCTGGGCCTTCCAGATGGCAGCGCAGGTTGCTCTGGGAGTGCGTATGGCTGGGTCTCAGCTTGCTCCTCAGCTCGCAGACGCCTGGCCCAGACCTGGGGCGTTGGGGGTGGGGTGGGGGGTGGGAGTGGGGCCTGGTACTCATGTTTGGGAATTGTGCATCTCAGGTGTGCTGACTCTGAGAACTCGGCTGCTAGGTTTCAGGCTCCTGTGGCTTAGAGTCGATGTTAATGTAGGTGTGGGTGTCCCCTTTTGCACTCAGGGAAAACATGGTGGCCAGGCACATGCAACTGTGCCTCCACAGCAGCTGACCCCTCCACCGCCTCTTGCCTTTGAGCCTTTTGGGCTTCCAAAAGGTGTGATGCCCTTCTCCTGTGCATCTGCCCCTGTGGTCACCAGGCATCCTGCCCTGTTTTCTATCTACTTCATCTCTGTGTAGTCTCCCACACTCGGATCTCGCTAGGTCTGAAACACCATGGCCTTGGCCTTCCTGCAGGAGCAGTGGCTCCCGTGGTCAGTGTGCCACGCAGGGTTGGAAGCTGCATATAGATGGCAGAATACATCCAGCAGATGGACCCCTGAGGGCGGCTGCTCTGCTACCCTTATTGCTTCTTGTGATTAGGTGTTGAACAGCCCCTACAGTCAGGGGCCCTGGTGAGCTTTGGAGTTCTGAATTGGCCAGCTCAGAGCTGAGGTCTTTTTTTTTTTTTTTTTTTTTAATTTTTTATTGTGGGCTGTTCAAAACATTACAAATTTCTTGACATATCATATTCCACACTTTGATTCAAGTGGGTTATGAACTCCCACCTTCACCCCATACACAGATTGCAGATTCACATCAGTTACACATCCATTGATTTACAAATTGCCATACTAGTGTCTGTTGTGCTCCGCTGCCTTTCCCATCCTCCACCCTCCCCCAGAGCTGAGGTCTTCATAGATCTTGTTTTGCCTTCTGCCAGCCCATTAAACTGCATGCATTTTCTAACTGGACTGCAGCCAAGCTGTTTGGTCATTATCAGGGAGTGTTTGATAAAAACAGAAACCAGCAAAAGTTAAGTCGTTCCAAGGAGTCAGAGCCCTAAAAGGCAGAGAATGAAAAGTGACAGATTTTCCCCAACCTGCTTCCAGAGCGCTTCCTGACAGTGGTCAGTGAGGTCAGGCCCGGGGTGCAGTCTGGCCCTGAGCAGTTGCTGTGGGGTCCTCAGCACAGAGATGGCAGGTGGCCATGGTGCTTGAACCCATAGACTCAACTAGGGTGGGGGGCCCCTGGTGAGAACTGGTCAGAAAGACGGGGAAGAAACAGCAGAGAACACTGAGGAAGCACATGAGGGGGACACATTGCCCAGGGGAGCAGCTGCCGTGGTGCAGCTGTGCCTCTGAGCTCATGTGACAGCTGCTAGTGCTTCTCACCTGCTTGCAGGTAATGACCCCTTTGAGATCCTCAACAGCCTGAATATAGTTTGTCCTCACTTCACAGATGGGAAAGGTAAGGCCCAGAGAGTTAGGGAACCTGCCCAGCTTCACAGCTGCTCTGCATGCAGCTGGAGTGATTCCTGCAGAGGCAGCAATGCCACAGTGGTCACAAGGGCCTGTGGTTGAATGTCTTCTCCAGGATCAGGGCCATGTGTGCAGCATGAGAGGTGGCACTGGGGATAAGTGTTTTTTGTTTGTTTCTGAAGTCCCAGGGATTGGAACCAGGGCCTCCTTGAATATCCTAGCAGAGTGTGGTACCGCTGAGCTACATCCTCAGCCCTTTTGGTTTTTTGGTATGGGGATTGAACCCCAGGGACACTTAACTACTGAGCCACAACCCAGCCCTCAGTAAATTGCTTCGTGCCTCACTAAGTTGCTGAGGCTGGCTTTGAACTTGCAATCCTTGTGCCTCAGCCCTCCCAAGCCACTGGGATCACAGTCATGTGCCACTGTGCCCACACAGCTCTCAGCCCCCCCCCTCCTTTTTTGGCCTGAGGATTGAACCCAAGGCCTTGTGCATGCAAGGCAAGCACTCTGCCAATTGAGCTATATCCCCAGCCCTCAGCCCCTTTCACTAGTTTCAAGACAGGGGAGTTCCCCAGGCTGTCCTTGAACTTGTGATCCTCTTGCCTCAGCCTCCTGAGTAGCTGAGATTACAGACATGTGCCACTTCGTCTGGCATAAACGCGTTTTGTAGGCCACCCTGAGAACCTCACCGTGGCTCATAATGGCATCTCTGTGCACAGACTCTAGCCTGTGCCCAGCAGCCGCAGAACCATGTCTGCTCTGAGCTGGGTACTGTCTGTTCAGAACAAACACCGGTTTCTGGCATGCAGCCAAGTGGCCCCGTTCCTCTGGATTCCTGCCTTCTGTGACAGGCAAGCCCAGGGAAGCTGCAGGGGATGGAGCAGGTGGCACCTGCTGGCTGTGGGCAGGAGCTGCACAGAGGAAATGGTGTTCTGGGCTCATGGGAGGCTGGCACAGGCTCCCAGGGCTGCTGGGCACCTGCATTTCCCAGGGGAATTTTTTCTGAGATGGCAACCCTTGGGATTCCAGACTGACCTGCTGGCTGCTGCTCCCCCAAGTATGAACATAAGCATTGTGCCAGCCTGGACTCCTGTTGGGAAGGAGGTGATGTGGGAACATGTTCTAACTGCAGAACGTGGCACACCTCCAAGGTGAGGGGGTCATGAGCAGGGCTCACAGGGGCACCTTCTTTCCCAAGACGTAGCAGGCCTTGCTTTGTGCTGGAGTATGGGTAGTGTTACCCCAGGTCACCTTGGGTTGCCTGGCCTTGGAACCAGGACAGCATCTGAGCAGGGGCAAGAGAACCATGCCAGTGGCCCCTGAATACCTTTATGGTCTAGTGCTGCCCCTCACTTCTCTGGAGTGGACCTTCTTGTGTCCTCAGAGCTACAGGGAGACTCAAGACACCCCTCAGGAGGTGGGATTTGGAGGTCAGATCTTTTTGGCTGGAAAGGATCAGTACCACAGGCACCCTAAGACGAGGTCTGTCAGGAGAGAGACCTTTTCCTTACCCCTGTCTGACTCTGCACATGCCAGTCTCCCACCTTAGGTCAGTTCTCCCAGCCACCCAGAGCGCCATAGAAATGCCACCTGCAGGCCCTGCCACTATGCAGGGGAGGTGGGAAGGTACAGATGTGCTGGCCCTGCTGTTAGGGGAGTGAGTGTGGACAGGATGCCCCCACTAGGCACATTCCTCCTGAAGACCTGTGACAGTGACACTCAGAGCAAAGAATTTGAAAGAGGCTGCCCAGTTGAGAAGTTTCAAAAGTACACAAACGTTGGCGGGTAGACTAAGGGCTGGCAGTGCGGACCTACATCGCCACCTAGTGGTCGACATTACAAATGCTGCCTGGCCTCTTGCGTGGGAGGGAAAAGCCCAAGTTGACTGCTACCAGGAGTCAGAAAAGCCCAAGTTGACTGGTACCGGGAGTCACCATGCCTCTGGGGTCTCTGCACCTTTCCCATTTACCTACTTTCAGATCTGCAGATGTTTATATATTTTTCTAGGGTATTTACTATATATTTATACCCTTGGACCACCCTGGATGGCTTGGAGAATGGACCTAAGGTGGGGAACTGGCATGTGTACAGTCAGGCAGGGGGTGACTTAGGATATTTGTTTTTTGTAGTGGGGATTGAACCCAGGGGCACTCAACCACTGAGCCACATCATAGCCCAATTTTGTATTTTATTTAGAGACAGGGTCTCACCGAGTTTCTTAGTGCCTCGCTTTTGCTGAGGCTTTTTTTTTTTTTCTTCCCCTGTGGTGTTGGGGATTGAACCCTGGGCCTTATGCTTGTGAGGCAAGCACTTTACCAACTGAGCTATATCCCCAGCCCTGAGGCTGGCTTTGAATTCATAATCCCCCTGCCTCGGCCTCTGGAGATTCTGGGATTACAGGCATGCACCACCATGCCTGGCTCAGGTTTTTTTTTTTTTTTAAGTTGTAGTTGGATACAATATCTTTAATTACTTTTTATGTGGTGCTGAGTATCGAACCCAGGGCCTTGCCCATGCTAGGTGAGCGCTCTACTGCTGAGCCCCAACCCCAGCCCCTCAGGATTTGTTTTTTTAAAGATAAAACCAACATGCACAGCCCTGGGATTAATCCCTAGCACCCGCCCCCACCACATACACACAAATAGAACCAAAACCAAATAGTGTTCAGACATTTTCTCTAGAAAAATCAGCTCAAAATTCAAATCCAAAATTAGAGTGCCACTTATTAGCTGTCTGGACTCCACTGACATAGGTTACTCATGTGTCCTTGGGGAAGGGGACGAGAAGCCACATGGCCACGTTCCTGGGCTGGGTAGGTGTCTGCTCTGTTTCTGGCTGTTGGGATTGGTCCTGTATCTCTGAGGACGACCCTCGTAGCATGGGACAAGGTTTTGTGGGGTGACAGAGCAGCCCTGCAGGGCTCCTTCAGCTGCACCTTTCCCATTTACCTACTTTCAGATCTGCAGATGTTTATATATTTTTCTAGGGTATTTATATATTATATATTTATACCCCTGGACCACCCTGGATGGCTTGGAGAATGGACCTAAGGTGGGGAACTGGTTGCGTGTATGCAGTACGCTCTTGCTTTTCCAAGTCATCCCCTGAAGAACCTGCATTTCCCCCAAGCTCAGTGTCAGCAGCAGCACCTTACTCATTTTCTAGGTGTTCAGTGGCTATGTAGGACCGGCTGGTGGCTCCATGTGGTGACTCCACTCAGAGATGGCCCTGCTCTTGGTAGTTGGGGCTTACTCTTATTTTTGCAGATCCCTCTCCTCTGTCCCTTGACCATGACCTGCTGGTGTTCCTGGGTGGTGGGATGGTGGAGGCTGTACAGCTTTGCAGACAGGGAGATGGGACGCTCACTGCCTCTTACCTGAGCCCTGGGGCCAGCCGTGTTCATGGTGTTGCTGTGTTCAGTGAAGTTCACACCACCTGAGTGAAGGGAGGTCTGATAGGGGCACACTGTCCCCAGTACAGGCTTGCTGCCATGTGGCAGTGTGGGCATTTCTCATCATGCCTTCTCAGGGATATCCCATGAGGTCATCCGCTTGGTCTGCTCTGTGCACAGTGAGACACGGGCCTCCTGGGGTCCCTGTGGGTCAAATTGTAAACAGTGGTGGGGTGATGGGGACTCTGTCTGCCCCATGACAAGCCTGAAGCTGTAGAGAACCTGGGTTCTAGGTCTGAAGCTAGGTGTTTGTAGGGAGATTGGTGCAGGCTTGGGCCTTGGGCACTTGCTAGCTGGACCTGCTTGACTGGACTCTGGGGCCTCAGAACAGCTTCCCCGTGATATGTGTAGTGCCCCCAATAGGGCCAGGCTTCAGCCGGAGTGTTGTCCTGCCTCCTACCATGCATGGAGTCTAGTGGTGGTGGTGGTGGCTCCTTTGGAAATGACTGATACAGGGTGTGGTAGCTTATACTTGTAATTCCAGCAACTCAGGAGGCTGAGGCAGGAGGATTGCAAGTTTGAGCCAGCCTGTCTCAAAATAAAGGCAGTGGATGTAGCTCAGTGGTAAAGCACCCGTGTTCGATCCCCAGTACCACCAGGAAATAAAAAGAAAGAAATGACTGACCACTGCCCAGTGGCCTCCCTTTCAAAGCCCTCTTAAGACTTGGGTTTCATGTTCTCATGGTCAGACACCGGTGACCTCAGATGGATGAAGTTCCTTTTGGCAAAGGGAAGCCACTTCCTCAGGAAGTGTCCTGTTGTTTCCTTCTGCCTCAGCTTTTAGAAGGCCAGGGGTCTGGGTGCGCTGTGTTCTGGCCCAGCTCCTGGGGGCTGGCCCCCACCCTGAGCTGCAGCTGCCCACAGTCATCCCCAGGTACTGCCTGGCCAGCCTCTCCCACTCCTGCCTGCCTTGCACTGATGTCCCCTCTCCCTTTGCCACCTGCCTTGAAGCTGCTCAGTGGACCAGTAGCTCCCTCCGGAACAAACACAAGCTTTTTTTTTTCTTTCGGTTTTTGTTACTGGATGTTGAACCCAGGGGCACTTTATCACTGAGCTACACTTTTTATTTTATTTTGAGACAAGATCTAAATAAGTTGCTGAGTCTAGCCTTGAATTTGTGTTCCTCTGGCCTCAGCGTCCTGCGTCTCTGGGATCACAGAAACCGGCCACCCGGACATAAGCTTTTTAAAGTGTGAGATGATGCACGTTCGTGTGTGCACGGCCTGCAGAGCGAAGGTGTCTCCGGCCCGCTCTCCAGAGACACTTGTTAGGTCTTCTCCCGGGACTGTGTTTCCTGTAGAAGGCACACAGGGGCCTCCTGAGGCTTCCTGGTCCTTTTACCATGAAAGGCTCTCTGTGCTGGCAGACACTGCAGCTCTGTCTCTCTTCCGTGTCTGTGTTAGTGTCCTGGGGCCACAGGAACACATGACCACAGACTGAGTGGCTTAAAATGGCAAACACATGTTTACTCTTCTGAGGCGGAGTCTGGAATCCAGGTGCTGGCTCGGCTGGTTCCTTCTGAGTCTGTGAGGGAGAGTCTTTCTTGTGCCTTTTGTTTTTTTTGTTGTTGTTTTGTTTGTTTTTGAGTACTGGGGATTGAACTCAGGGGCACTCAACCACTAAACCCCATCCCCAGCCCTGTTTTGTATTTTATTTAGAGACAGGGTCTCACTGATTTGCTTAGCACCTCACTTTTGCGGAGGCTGGCTTTGAACTCATGATCCTCCTGCCTCAGGCTCCCGAGCTGTGGGATGCGCCACCGCGCCCTGCATGCCTCTTGTCTTTTGATGGTGACTGGCAAAGCTTGGTAGCTTGGTGCTCTGTGACTTGTAGACAGGTGCACTGCTCCAGGCCCTGCCATCTTCTTATTTGTATCTCTGAGCTTTACCTTGTCCGCCCCCCCCCCCCCGCCTTTTGTGTGTGTGTGTGTGTACTAGGGGATCTAACCGAGGGGCACTTTACCACTGAGCTACATCCCCAGTTTGTTTTATTTTTTATTTTGAGACAGGATCTCACTAATATGCTGAGGTCTGTCTCCTAAGTGGCTGAGGCTGGCTTCAAACTTGCAGTCCTCCTGTCTCGGCTTCCTGAGTAGCTGGGATTACAGTTATAGGCATGCATCTGTGCACCTGACTTTCTTATAAGGAACCAGTCATTGGATCTAGAGCAGACCTCACCTTAATTATCTGCAGAGACCCTGTTTTCACACTTGCAGATCCTGGGCTGGGACTACCCAGCGCACACCAGTTTTCCTCCCCATCTTCCTGGCTCTCAGCCTTCCTCACCCTGGTGCTCCTGGCAGCCTGTGAAGTGGCTTGGGTCATCAAGCTCCCCTCTGTCATGGCTGGAGCAACCCACCCCCACCCCAGCCCCTTAGGTTCCCACCCTTTCTTGTGGTTTGTTCATCTGTCTTTCCATCAAACTGAGCCCTGAGGGCCGGAATCACAAGTGAGTTCACTGCAGTGCATGAGGAAGGGAGGGTGCTGAGGGAGGCCAGGGATGCCCTGAGCCTGTCTGCACTGAGGGCTGGTGACCTTGGGTTGTCGGCAGTGCTGACTGCACTGGGTCACCCGGTTCTCCCAAATCAGGGTCTACAGGGGAGCCCTGAGGCTCTGATCGCCCCTCCCCCAGCATCCAGGGACTGAGGTTTCATGTGGGTGCTGGGGGGACCAGCAGCTCCCACTCAGTGCGTCCAGGAGCTCCGTTGGCAGTGCTACCCTGTGGTCCTCACGCCGCTCTCTCCCGCAGGCTGGAGCAGCCCTACTTCAGCGCCAACGCACAGTTCTTCCAGGCGCTGAGCCAGTGCTCCTCGCTGCAGCGTCTGTGCCTGGTGTCCCGCAGCGGCTCCCTCCAGCCCGAGGCCGTGCTGGCCTTCATGGCTCGTTGTCCGCACGTCGTCGTGTGCCACATGTTCACTGGCGAGTCCCTCGCCACCTGCAAGAACCTGCAGCAGTCGCTCCTCCGCAGGTGAGTGGCCAGCAGGCCTCTGACAGCACCGCCCTCCACAGACCCAGCGTCCCCAGTGCCCAGCACTGTTTTATGGGAACAGAGAGCGCCAGGCTGTGGTGGGTGGTCAGAGGGCCCGGCTTCCTTCTGCAGGGAGGACTCCTCTCTCTGGACATCCTCTTGGCCACAGGGTCAGTTTTCTAGGAGGCTCCACTCCCCTCTGTCCCCAGTACAAAAGTTGCTATGTTTTCTCACACATTTCGCCATAACTGTTTCTCTGGTGTATAAAATATACACCCCTGGGTTCTCTCTTCTATCTTTTATTTATTTATTTATTTGGGTACTGGGGGTTGAACTCAGGGGTGCTCAGCCACTGAGCCACGCCCCCAGCCCTTTTTATATCTTATTTTGAGACAGGGTCTCACTGAGTTGCTTAGGGCCTCAGCCTCCTGGGCTGCTGGGATCACAGGTGTGTGCCATCACTCTACGCCCAGGCCAGCCTTTTATTTTAAAATAATTTTAGGTAAGTAGTTAAAATAGGGTTTCTGAAGAGCCTTAATTCAGCTTTCCTAATGCGACACCCCGTGTGCCCCCACAGTTATCAGAACAAGGACGTCAGCAGGGTAGGAGCCATTTGAGCCACCTGAGAATTTGGTCCGTTTCCTCCTATGTCCTTCCTCTCTCCCGCGATCCTATTTAGGGTCCAGTCCGGAGTCTCTGGTTGAATTGAGTTGTCTGTCTCCTTAGGCTTCTTTCTCCATGGCTATTCCCCCATTGTTCCTTGTCCTTCATGACCTTGACACTGGGAGAACTGGTGGGTCATTTTGGAGCATGTCCCTCAGTTTGGGTCTCTCTGACATTTTCTTATGATTAGATTGAGAGTCGGCATTTTTGGCAAGAAAACCATGGAGGAGACTGGGCTTCTCGGTCTTGACACCTGGACGGCGTGGTGTTCTCATACCTTACCTCAGGCACCATTGGCCTCCATTACCTGGGAAGGTGGTGCCAGTGAGGCTTCTCTGCTGCGAAGTCACTGTGTTCTTTCTTTCTTTCTTTTTTCTTTTTTTTTTTTTTAAGTATTTACTTTTTAGTTGTGGTTGGACACAATACCTTGATTTTATTTATTTATTTTATGTGGTGCTGAGGATCGAACCCAGGGCCTCGCCTGTGCTAGGCGAGCGCTCTACCGCTGAGCCACAACCCCAGTCCTCACTGTGTTCTTTCTAATGAACAAACATGTCATGGAGGGAGGCCTTGAGTGTAGATCCCGTGTTTCTTACCCTGCTTGACCCCCCAGTTTTAGCATCTGTGATGGATCTTGGCCTTAGTCCACTTGGGCTGCTATGACCGGGAAGTCACATGACAAGAAGGCTCGGTGGCTTAAATAGCAGGTACTCAGTCTCACAGTCCTGGAGGCCACCAAGATTATGGTGTCTGGTGAGGCCCAAGAAGGGGGCTGCCTTCTTGAATCTTATCCTCACTTATGGTGAGGGCTTCTCCTCATGGCCTCATCTGGCCCTGCCACTTCCCAGTGGCTCCATCTCCTCACACCATCCTCTGGGGCTTCAGGTTTCACTTTGGAGGACACGAACATAACAGTCATCACCATGACTAATGATGATTTTCTGTGTCCTTCATTTTACGTTTAATTGGAACTCTACAGTGAGAAAGACCTTTCCCCCATTTTATTTACTCATATACCAGTGTCCACTCAGTGATTCTTTTTTTTTTTTTTTGTAGCTGTAGATGGACAGCATACCTTTATTTTATTTATTTTTTTATGTGGTGCTCAGGATCGAGCCTCGGGTCTCACGTGCTGGGCAGGCGCTCTGCCACCGAGCTACAGCCTCAACCCGACTCAGTGATTCTTATTTAGTCACTGGGTTGGAGCCCACCGCTGTCACCGTGTGTGGCATTGTCTAATTGTCCTGGGGGTGCTCTCTTGTTTGGTGGATTGAGCCCAGGGCTTTATGCATGCCAGGCAGGCATCTCCCACATCTCCCAGTTGAGCTGCATCCCCAGCCCCTGGGGGTATTCTTTCCGTGGGTCTGCACCCTCTTCATCTGACCCTTCCTCTTTTGGAGCACTTCCTGGCTCTCCGGCAGCTCGGATGTTCCCGCTCCTGTGTGCTTCCCTGCCTCAACCTGCTTGGCCATTTCTCTAAGGCTTGGGTTCCTCTTCCTGGACGGTATGTGTAGAAGCCAGGCCCTGGCAGCAGATTCGTCACGACTGCGGTGCCCTGCCCAGAGGGCTGAGTGGGCACAGCTACTTGTGTACGCACCCGTTTCTTTCTTTCTTCCTTTCTTTCTTTTTGGTACTGGCGATGGAATCCAGGGCCTTGATCATTCCAAGCAGACACACCACTGAGCTGCACTGCGACCTTCCATAAGCAGTTTATTTTATCTCTCTCTTTTTCTTTTTTTTTTTTTAACTTTTTTTGGTTGTTGTTTAGGTGACAGCATGCCTTCATTATATTTGTTTTATTTTTATGTGGTGCTAAAGATGGAGCCCAGTGCCTTTCATGTGCTAAGCAGGCGCTCTGCTGCTGAGCTACAGCCCCAGCCCTTATTTTATCTTATTTATTTATTTATTGGTGGTACTAGGGATTGAACCCAGGCCTCGTGTGTGGAACCCAGGGCCGTGTGCGCTCGACCACTGAGCTCTGTTTCCCAGCCCACAAGCACTTTCATCTGAGCAGGGGTGTTGCCGTTCTGTTATATCAATGGGTAAATAGAAAATGTGCATCACGTTACTGAGTTGTCCAACTTCTCCTTGCTCGCTGTGTTCATTGCACACCGTGCACTCTCATGTCCGTGAAGATGAGCTGTGCACACTGACCTTTCTGATTCTAGCCCAGGGTCCAAGCTCAGCACCACCCTTCCGCTTCCCGGCTCACATAACTTCTCTCCAGCAGCAGAAAGGCCTGGCTCTTGTCACCCACAGCACGTTTACCGATGTGTTCAGTCCCGGTGTGTGTGTGAAGTAGGTTCAGAATTGCTAACCACGTACCTGTGGAGAACATATTCGTGAACTGCAAACATATTTGTGTAGCATTTTGTCACCAGTCGTCCCGTGTCCAGTCAGAAGCTGTTCTCTAGGTACTTGGTGTTGTTCTTTGGTGCCTGCTTCAGAGCCGTCTCTACTTGCAGTAGGTGCCTTTGTTTCTGTTCACCATTCTGTTTGGTGTCAACTGCACATCATCGTTGAATGTGTGTACTGTTTGGGCCTGGGACCCTCACCGTATCTTCTAGCCTGTCAGTGCTGCTTGAGATGTGCGTGGCACAGTGGGGCTCCACCCTCCTCCTGCCGCCCCTCGCCAGGACACCAAGTCTCCGTCCTTTCTGTTTCTCTTGCACAGATGAGTCTTTTCTCCTGTCCCCTTCTTCCCTGTGTGCAATTTCCCCCCAATGCTCTACCACTGAGCTACATCCCTGTCCCAACATTTATTATCTTTTTCTTTCTTTTTTAATATCTTTATTTATTTGTGGTGTTCAGGATTGAACCGGGGTCTTGCACATGCTAAGCAGGTGTTCTGCTGCTGGGCTGAATTCCCAGCCCTAACGTTTATTATCTTAACCACTCTTCTTGAGACTTGGTCACACAATGTTGCCCAGACTGTCCTCAAACTCCTGGGCTCAAGTGGTCCTCCTGCCAAGGCCTCACGAGGGCTGGGATGTGACAGGTGTGCTACTTTGCCCGGCTCTGAGGTTTCTGCTGTTGATGGGCGTTCTGTTGTTTCCAGTCTTCCTCGGCCCCCACGAATATCTTTATGTGGGTTTCCTGTGTACACCTGTGCACCGCAGGTATTTTTGAAAATTTACCAGATTGGCCTCAAAAGCAATTCTCCTAGCCTCCACCCTCCCCCTCCAGCTGACTGTGGAACTCTGTCCACACCTCTGTGTCCCACCCTGCTGTGTCGTCAAGTTTTCAGGTGTGCCCAGTGTCCTGGGGGAGTGTGTCCTCCCATTGCCTGCATTGATACCCACTGAGCATCGTTGGATATGTTTTTTGACTGTTCATGTCTCCTTGTTTGTGATTGTCCCTGCAGATCTCTCAGGGACATTTCTGGCGGGTTTCTTTGAGTAAGAAGAAGGGAGCAAGTCCAGGGTAGCCATGCTTGGCTTGCGGCAGCAGTGTGGGTGCTCCCGTCAGGTGTCCTAGGGGTCCCTGTCTCCTCCTGGTGCTTCCTGCCTGCTCTGTCGCCATTGCTTCAGGTTGCTGTCCTGCAGTGGTGACCCCCTTTTACGCGAATCTTCCAGTTGGCCTTGTCCTTAGGCAGGTGTCAAGGCTGCTGGTTTGGATACAAAATGCAACTAAATAGGCTTTGAGCAGCTTTCTGGGTGTCTCACCAGAGGCTGCGGCTCACACTTGACTGTAGGAGTTGAGAAGGTTAGGAAACTCCCTGCAAACCCCACCCTGCTTGCTGTTGATGAGAGGAACCAGGGCGCCTTGGGTAATGTCCCTGAAGCAGGAAGCAGGCACCGTTTTCCTGTGATTCATAGGAAAGCAATTGAATGAGGCAGGGTCCACAGGGCCCCCAATCAGCCATCTGCTCCAGGCTCCAGGACCCTCTGCTGCTTGTGCCTGCGTGAGTCCTCAAGGTCCAAGGTGCACTGTTTGAGGACTGTGAATGTCAAGTGCAGAAAAGAGTTTTGGAAATTCCAACTCATAGCTGGAGAAGCAGTGGAATCTAAATGTCAAAATAATTGCCTGAGGAGCTGGAGCTGGGGCTGGGGCTCCGTGGTAGAATGCTACCTGTGTGAACCCCAGGGTCCCATCCCCAGCCCTGCAAAACAGACAAGCAAACAAAAACCCTTTTACATTGTTTTGTACCCATTACTGCCATCCATCCTTAGACCTTTCCCATCTTCCCAAGCAAAAACTCACACACGTGAAGTAAGAACCCTGCGTGCTCCTCCCCGGCTCCCGGCAGCCACCACCCTGCCACTCCTATGAGCTGATTCAGAGTCTCCTGAACAGGACTTGCACATTCCCCACGCTGTGTTGTTCAGCCTGGGAGC